TTAAAATCAAGAGCTCCTCTGGTTGGTTTTTACCAGCCACCCTGAAGAAGAAGGCAATTCTCAAGCACAAACCTCCTCACTTCTCTGCAAGACCCAGTCGGCGTAGGTCCACACCAGCTCCTGGTCTAAGCAGTAGGTGAGAAAATCAACAATGTACTCATACAGGTCTGCGCGCGTGGAGTCCTCGATGTCCCCGTTCACGATGTTCACCCACAACTGGAAAGGAATCAAACACAAACATAAACAAAACCCAGAACATTACGTATCTTGCAGAATTAGCTTAGAAAGCCTGTGTGTTGACTTACTTGACCTTTTAAGACTTTTGGAAGTGTAGGTTGAGAATCCCTCCCTGATCAGAAAACCCCCCATCCAAAACTTTGAACCCAGGAGAGCTTTACCACTGAGCACATCTCTAGACCTTTTCATTTTTTATTTAGAGACAGGGTCACACAAAGTTGCTGAGTGCCTCGCTAAGTTGTTGAGGCTGACCTCAAACTTGTAATCCACCTGCCTCAGATTCCCATGTTGCTGGGCCAAAATTTTTTAAGCATGTTGATAATGCATTTAATTTAATTTTTAGTTTTGGTACTGGGGATTGAACTCAGGGGCATTCAACCATTGAGCCACATCCCCAGCTCTATTTTGTATTTTTTTATTTAGAGACAGGGTCACACTGAGTTGCTTAGTGCCTGGCTTTTGCTGAAACTGGCTTTGAACTCACAATCCTCCTCCCTCAGCCTCCTGAGCCACTGGGATTACTAGCATGTGCCACCAAGCCTGGCTTGATAATGTGTTTTAGATTTCAAATTTCAAACTGGGGTTGGYTCACCCCTAAAATCTATGCAAATCTTCCAAAATCTGAAAAACTCCAAAATTTGAAATACTTCTGATCCCAAGCAATTTGAATAAGGAGTATTCAACCTATAGTAGGACAAGTCATAAATGTCTAAATCAATTTTTAATTTCCTTCCTTCCTTCCCAATGTAAACAGCCAACAAAGTTTATGGGGATAGATGAGTGCTTTTCAAATCTTTCTTCATAAAATAAATAAAATGGTGACATCTATAGACACAAAAGAATTCACCTACAAGCATCAGAGAGCGTCTATTTCTATCTTCTCCATCACCTGAGCTCTTGATTCTCAGACTCTCCTTGGACAGTGATGGGAAGATGTATTTTTTCAAAGTGTCTTGGTGATTCTGATCCCAAATGCTCCTGTTGCCTTTTGCCCAGCAGCTCAAGACAAACCCCATTGATAAAAATCTCTCGCTATTTCCATCAGAAACTTCCCTACCCTACTAACTGAAGCTTACTGTCTGGACCCCAGAAAGAGGGAGCATGATGTGGAGCAGGAAGGGATAGAGGCCGCACCTCCCCCACCATGGGCCTCATCCAGCTGTCCACCTGGCTGGGCTTCTGAGCCCCGGCAAAAGCAGTACATCTAGGAAACAGGGCTGGTGATGCCAATCTGTGATTCTGACATCAGAATCCCAACATCTTTTATGTTATAGGTTGAGTATATCTTATCCCAAATGCAGGGGCTATAGGTATTTTGGATTTTAGATTGTTTCAGATTTTGGGATTTTTGCATRTAGATAGTGATGTATCTTGGAGGTGGGACTCAAGTCTAAACAAGAAATTTATTTGTATCAAGTACACTTTATACACTTTGCCCAGAGGTAAATTTATGCAATATTTTTAATAATTTTGTGCATGAAACAAGGTTTTGTTTTGGGAGGGCGTACCAGGGATTGAACTTAGGGGCACTCAACCACTGAGCCACATCCCCAGCCCTATTTTGTATTTTATTTAGAGACAGGGTCTCACTGAGTTGCTTAGGGCCTTACTTTTGCTGAGGCTGGCTTTGATCCTCCTGCCTCAGCCTTCTGAGCCTCTTGAATTACAGGCATGTGCCACCACACCTGGTTGAAACAAGGTTTTATGTTGCTGAATTTTCCACTTTTGACCTCACATCAGCACTCAAATAGTTTTGGGCTTTGAAGCCAGATTTTTCTGATTAGGAATGCTTAACCTATAATCATTTCTTCAACACTGACTTCCCCAAACCAAATAACATAATCACATATATATTGAAATTTTATCTGTGATACCCAAATATGTTTTGGCTTTGGGAAAGAAGCACTTAATCACTAAGTCACATCTGAGCCCCATTTTATATTTTATTTAGGGTCAGGGTCTTGCCGCGTTGCTATGGCCTCACTAAGCTGCTGAGTTTGGCTTTGAATTTGTGACCCTCCTGCCTCAGCCTCCTGAGCCACTGGGATTACAGGCATGCATCTGGCCTCCTTTAAAAAAAAATTTTTTAAAAAACCTTCCTTCTTTCCTCTCCCCTCTCCTTCCTCTACTCTACTGGACTTCCTTTCACTCGTCTATTAATTTGTATTTGGTTGGTTCTCTATGCAAGCTTATCCTCCTTGCTTTCCTCTGTTTTATTCTAGCTTCTGAAGATGGGAGAATACATTCAACCTTTGAGTTTCTGGGTTTGGCTGATTTCACTTAGCATGATGTTCTGCATTTCTATCCATTTACTGGCAAATGCCATCATCCCATTCTTTTTAATGGCCGAGGAGAACTCTGTTGTGTATATATACCACAATTTCTTAATGCACTCATCTTTTGATGGGCATCTGGGTTGATTTCAGAACTTAACTATTGTGAATTGTGCTGCTCTAAACATTGCTGTGGCTGTGTTGCTATAGTAGGCTGATTTCAAATCTTTGGGGAAAATACTCAGAAATGCGATAGCTGGGTCACCCCTAGTTTTCTGAGGAATCTCCAAACTGCTTTCCAGAGATTTAGTCTGCAGTCCCACCAATAATGTACCAGTGTTCCTTTCTCCCCACAACCTTGTGATAGTTTCCCAAAGCAACACTAAAGACTAAATAGACACTTGGCTTTGCCAAAGTCATGGAGTTGATGTTAGTTTGGTGAATATGGTTGATGTTCTTTGCTTCACACAATGAAACAAAAAAGAAATGTGGCATATATACACAATGGAGTATTACTAAGCAATAAAAGAGAATAAAATCATGGCATTTGGAGGTAAATGGATGGAGTTAGAGAAGATAATGCTTAAGTGAAGTTAGCCAATCYCAAAAAACCAAATGCCAAATGTTTTCTTTGATATAAGGAGGCTGATTCATAGTGGGATAGGGAGGGGGAGCATGGTAGAAACAGACAAACTCTGGGGGAGGGAGGGGGCATGGGGTAATTAATGATGGTGGAATGTGATGATCATTATTATCCAAAGTATAGATATGAAGACATGAATTGGTGTGAATGTACTGTGTATACACCAGAGATATGAAAAATTGTGCTCTATATGTGTAATAAGAATTGTAATGCATTCTGCTGTCATATGTAAATATACATATATTTACATATATATTTACATATGTATATATACATATCAGAAAAYCAGTCCAACATGCAAAAGAGTGGATAACAAAGAACAGAGGGGAGAAAGTGCTCTGAGAGTGTGAGATGAAGCTGTCAGGCTCAAAAGCAAGCTGGAAGATGCAACAATGCAAGGTGAGAGACAGGCTGACAAATCCATGCTACTTCTCTCCAGGTGCAGTACCCTGCCCKGCCACCTGGAGCGCTGGTTCAAATCCCAGCTCCACCTGGATCCCAGGCATGGCCTTGATGAGCTTCAGTTTTGTCACAGTGACATAGGGATAGTAATTTACCCAGCTCATTGGTAATGGCTATTGTCAGGAACAGTGGAAATGATAAATTCAATAGCTATTTTCTRCCCTAATTTTCTTATAAGACAGTGATGTCACATACCCTGTGGTTCAATAAGAAGTCTTATTCAAATAAGTAGAAAAAATAGTGGACTAAAGGTTAGGAAGTAGGGAGAAGAAGGATAGATGGAGGTTGGATAATAGGRAACAAAATACAGTTAGAAGAAGTAAGTCCTACTGTTCTACAGCTCAGAACTGCAGTTTACAACAATTTATTACAGATTTTAAAACAGAGGAGTTCAAAGATTCCCAACATAAAGAAGTGATAAATATGTTTAAGGAGTCGGCAATGCTAATTACCCTGATTTGACCATTTTGTGTCCTGTACATGTATCATCGAGTTATCACACTGTACCCTATAAGTGTGTACAATTATTTCACGTCTACTTAAAAAATTAAAAATAAATCATCAGTACTTTTTCATTTGAAAATTTTTCAAGTTTCAAAATCTCAATCTGGATAGTGCTCTTYGAAGAAATACAAAGACAAAGAAATGAAAAGTCTTGGCCATCATTTCTCAAGGAATTCACTTTCTAAAACAATATTATTTTTGTTCTGGATAAAAGGAGTTATAGATCAGGCAAAAGTGGTTTCTATCAATTTGTGGATTTAGCTTTTTTTGCTAAGTAACACTGAGTTAAAGGACACCATAATGCTAAAATGCCTTTGGACCTACCTGCAGTGCRGCGGCATCTTGGTTATTGTAATGATAGAGCAGTCCAAGTGCAAAATACCTGGAAGAGAACAAAACAGTCAGGACAATGGGTCCCCATGACTCGCTGCAGGCAAAACCAACACAGTAACCTCCTCTGGCTTGCTCCCCTGGATCCTATTCAACTCAGAAGACAGCTAACTTCAAACAAAAGGATCCTCACTTCTATCTATTTTGCTTATGGCACTAAAAACAGGTGCTCTATCAATCTCCAAAAAAGGATGATCTCGGGAGAGCAGAGAAAAGAAAATACCATGATACTATGTGAAAATAGCATTTGGAATTGCTTTCTATTTTGCTTCAAATACTAATACAATTTCATATATCTTCAGTTACCACAGTAGCCCCTGACGCAGTGGTAAGAGCATGTGAAGGTCCACTGTCTGAGCATTTCTTGAGAAAAGGGGCAAGAAGCTCAACCTGAACAACAGCAGAGAACACTGATGGTGTCCGGGAACCACAGACAACAGAAAGTCAAGGGCATTCAGGAAGAGGGTCCCAGAGGTCAGAGACCTCAGTTTCTACTAAGGCTTCGTGACTGATGAACTGAATTGCACTGAGCAAGAAGACTAACTGACCCAGTCTCCGACGTCCTCATTTACAAATGGGAAGGACTGGCACGASGCTCACAAACTGTTTCAGAATTTGGAGCACTTCAGATTTTGGATTTTTCAATTAGGGATGTTTCACTGCAGAAATCTATGCAAACATCCCAAACTCTGAAACTCTGAAACCTGCAATGCTTCTGTTGCAAGCACCTTAGTTCAGGAATACTCAGCCTATAACACCACTCCAYAGCATGTTCTGGTAACCTGGGAAACTGAGGACAGAGCCAAAACCCTCGTGGAAGCCCAGGTCATCTCAGGCACTGAACAGGGTCCAGCATGGTGACCCCCAGGATCTCTGTGGGATTTCATCAGTCCTTCTGCCCCTTCAAATTCTTAACAAAAATCAGAGGCAAAAAAAATATTTTTAAAAAACTTACTGCTTATAYGAAACTGAGAGATCACCCAATGCCCTTCATTTGTAAAGATAAGAAAACTGGGGCCTAGAATGGTCAGTTCTGTGACTTCCTACCCTGGATGAAGAAGCTGCCAGCCCTAATCAAGCCAGTCACTAGGCACCAAGTGGCCCTGGACAGGAGGCTGCTACTAACTCATGGACGTAATGAAGGCAGTTTTCAACCATGACTTTGTGGGACCAAGGTCAAAAACCATACCACTCCATCATTTATCCAGGTGTCTATTGAAGCAGTTTGGTTATCAAAGACTCAATGCACCTTTTTATTTTTATTTTTATTTTTTTTGTACTRGGGATTGAACTCAGGGGCATTTAACCACTGAGCCACATCCCCAGCCCTTTTTTGTATTTTATTCAGAGACAGGGTCTCACTGAGCTGCTCAGCACCTCGATAAGTTGCTCAGGATGGCTTTGAACTTGTGATCCTCCTGCCTCAGCCTTGAGCTGCTGGGATTACAGGTGCATACCACCACACCTGGCCAATGCAGTCTTTAATTTAAAATCACATGGCATTTGCACAAGTGAATCCTCGGTTGACAACAGAAGAAACTTAAAAATGGCTCCATTTATTAACAAAGCCCATGACTAGTTCTAAATTGTAGTCTTACTATTAAAGAATGAGGAGAGAGTGAATGGCCCCCAACGCCCCTTGGATAGTGATAAGAGCAACAGCATCTGGAGAGCACTCAGCTCCTGAGGTCACTACAATTTCAAGGTAGCCACTGAGTGGACCTGCCAGGAACCAAATGTCACCCTGGCTACACCAGCTTCGTGGCAGAGCCCAAGCAGGAAGCCCGTCCCGCTGGAGGAGAACACTCACTTTTTGTGCTTCTCTAGCCAGGCAGCACTGTCCGTCAGAAGACAGAAGTTCTCAGTGACCAGGAGGTCCAGCAGGCTGTCGTGGTCAGCCTCTGCATACAGCTTGAGCAAAGCTGTGTCAATGTCCTCTTTGTAGCCATTAGCGACCTCTGTGCTGCGGACTTCGTTCAGGTAGCTCATGAGGAAGCGTTTGCACTTGGCCATCTTCTCCTGGTCCCCCTGGGTCAGCTGGTTCAGGTCTGCGTACTCGTGAAGAGGAGGGTGGGACCGAGTGAATGAAGAGGAGGTAGGCAACAGGAAGGGGTAGAGAGAGATCAGCTCCCGGACGTCAAGCTGGCCGCTTCTGCAATTACAGTGTCAAACTAAATGAAGCAAAAAGAGAGAGAGAGTACACATAGGCACACAAACAACACTGGAGGGCAGTGCCTGTGGGCACACGTGAACAGGGGTGGACACGGGGTGGCACATTGGAGCGATCCTCCGAATCTGCAAGTACAAGGCAGCACTACCTATCCTGTGACACCACCTGGTTCCACAAGAGAACCGGGAATGACAGTCACAGACGCGTAGGCCCACAGTGTGCAAGTGGAACATCGAGATGCTTACGCTGCCAGGAAAACCCAGGGTAGCCCTGGCACCTCAGAACCAYGGCAGACCAAGCCCAACCAAGGATGTCACACATCAGCATCCAGGCAGACAACGTCACAGTTCTTCCGAAAACCACTGTTTTCCTGACATTCAACTATAAATAGATTGGGGACAGTTCTTGAAGGAGAATTTATAAGAACTTGACACAAGCCAGGCATGTTGGTGCACACCTGTAATCCCAGTGGCTCGGGAGGGTAAGGCAGGAGGAGACAAGTTTGAGGCCAGATCCAGCAACTTAGCAAGACCCCGTCTCATAATAAAAAACAAAAAGGACTGGGGATGTGGTTAAGTGCCCTGGGTTCAATTCCCAGAACCAAATAAAAGACCCTAACACTGGCAAAGGTCTGACTATGTAAGAGACAGAATTATTCATGCRGCCATTTCTGCTGTGACTCTTGATAGATTTCAGAGCAGAACATTAGGAGGCAGCTTTCAAATGGCCAGCAGAAYATCCTGAGACCACATTTGTTGATGTCCCTGTCTAACTCATTGCTGGGCCCTTTTCCCTCCAGCCTGCTGGTCCCCTTGGCAATAACAACATCAATGGAGGCATCACAGAGCTATAGGTCTCCACCTGGGCCCCATGTCAGAGCCACCTGTGGGATAGTTCTGGAGGAAAAAGAAGTGGGGACTGTCCCAACCCTGGGACTGTCCCTGCCTGCAATGTTCACTACATCCCCTCAGCGCTCTCTGAGCTCCCATCCCCCACTCCACTGGCTTCTGCCTCCGTCTCCCTTCCTTCCACGCCCCCTCCCCACACCCTCACCCCCCCTCAACCTGTAATGGCCTGTACAGCCTACAGCCTTGGTTAGGCACGGCCCTTCCCACCAGATCCCAAACCGCCTTATCACTTCRGCCCTAACGCCCAGTGGCAACACCTGGCCCAGGGCAACACAGGCCTCTCAGCCTTGGCCCTTGCTGTACCCTTTGCCTGAAGCCGCGGTTCTCAATAGGAAGCCATGTTGCTCCCTGGGGGACTCGAGGCATGTCTGGAGACAGTTTTGTCATGACTTGGAGTGTGCTACTAACACCTAGTAGGTAGGAGCCAGCTGCTGCTGAACATCCTATGATGCACCAGACAGCACCCCCCGCCCAAGAACTATCTGTCCCACAATGTCAACAGTGCCACARTTGAGAGACCCTGGCCTAAAGTATGATTCTTGATTTGGGAAACTTCTGCTCACTGTTTGAGATCCAGGACGAATCCAGTGAAGGAAGATTCTTCTACTGTCCAACCTCAGCCCATGCCCTGCTCTCAAGACAGAACAGCACCCAAYAGGCAATGGGTGCAAAGTCCCTTCTCCAAACTAGCATGGGCACCCCGAGAAGCAGAGGCACTGTCGTGTCTCTACAACTCTCTCTCTGCTTAGGTCGAGTTTGCTAAGTGAAAAAAGAGCCACTGGATACACAGAGACAGGCTGCAGAATACATGGAGAACAAATGCACAGTACCTGTCCCCACGGCAGGAATGAGGTGTGGGTTTTCTTACAGGAACCGACCATGATTAGCTGACAGTCATGGCACAGGAAGGGACAGCGGAATCACCCTTGTTATAGGAGCACCTTAAACACCTATCAGTTCTCTCAGACTTTTTTTTTCTTTTTTTAGTACCAGGAATGCTTAACTACTACGCCACACTCTCAACCCTTTTTTACATTTTATTAGAGACAGGGTTTCGCTGAGTTGCTTATCGTTAATTTGCTGAGGCTCGGTTTGAACTGGTGATTCTCCGGCCTCAGCCTCCCAGGTCGCTGGGATTACAGACTTGCACCACYGTGCCTGGCTCTCAGTCACACTTTTGACAAAAACTGAGCAGCAGTCAACCTGAAGTGGAGCTACTGAGAGGCTAATGTATGGAAGAACCTTGTCCTAATGACAGACAGGCCCAACTTCTATTCTCTTTGTAAGGTCAGGCAGCGGGGGCAACCAAAAGCAGGCAGATTTTAAAAGGCTGCTGAACGAGGCTTTATTGAGATCCCACTCCTGGGGAGAACCCTCRGACCAACAGAGCAAGAGCAGGGTCTGAGGAGAAACTGCATGAGGGCTCGACCAGACTAGAATCTTATGGGGCTTAGGGCAGGAAGGGAGGGCRTGGGACAGGTAAAGGGRTTTTYAGAGTCTCTTGTCCCACTGGATTTGGACGGGGAGCYGGCTAAGATCCAGGATTGGCCAGGAGACCCCACTGATTGACAGGCAGTTCCATCAGTGCCCGATCGGTGTTTCTTTCATGCGTGGGGGTTTGTTCCTAAGTCACTTCATCGACCTAACACTCTTATCAAAACAGGAGACCATGCATCCATGGCCATTCGCCCACTGTCTCAGAYTGACCCACAAGGAAAAGAAGATGTTTGGAGATAAACACACCATGATACCAATGAGGAGGTATTTGACACTGCAGGAAAGAACAAGGAATGGCAGAAGAGTTGAGGTCCAGAGTCACAAAGAATCTATTTAAATCCCAAAGCCACTGATCTCTCTAGGAACAGATGGCAGCAGCACATAGGATTTGTAGGAGTGAAAGTGGTATCAGTCATCATTACTCACAGAATGAGTCCTGACACAGAAATCCATTCTCTACACCCAATTCTGYGACAGCAAGATGTCAGTACATGTGCGGGTTATACGCGATCAYCTCCAAGAATGGGCAACAGATGGTATGACACAGACAGGGTTCCCCTCAAGTCGTCACCGAGCTGCAAATGACCCACATCTTGTTTGCTGGGTGGCTATAAACTGCAGGCTCTGCTTGAGTGAGGTGCTGGGAAAAGTCACTGGGAAGGCGGGGCCTCAGGGGGCGGGGCCTCAGGGGGCGGGGCTTCGGGTGTTCTAGGGTGTGTAACTTCACCTCTCGGGCGGTGCTGAACAACCTTCCTGAGAGGCTGCCTCTCCAAGCACCCCGCCCCGCCAGAGCAAGGGCAGCTGGAAGAGCAGGTGCCAGGGCAAGGGGTGTGCCTGTAGATGGGCACAAGTGACGAAGGGCAAAAGTGGCTCAGGGGAGCGCCCTGCAGATATGCATTAATCACAATGCCCAGGGACTCCTGACGACAAAACTCRGCTTCCAACTTCCTAACAGAACTGACCAGGAATACCACACTTCAAAAGCTTTCAGAAGACGATGAAAAGTTCTCATAGATTTTTCCAGAAAGCCCTTGCTTTTTCTAAATTCAGAATCTAATAAAATCTACGGAGAGAAGGAAGCACAAACAGCTGGTTCCTCAGAACCCTCAGACCCCTCCTCGGGCAGCCCCCAGCCCCCAGGCCTCCTCCACAGAACTCTCCTCACAGACTGCCTGAGGCTGCTCCTCAGCCCCACCCTCCCTAGAACTAGGCCCTTCCGCCTAAGGCTGGGACCCAGCCCAGCCCATCTGCAGCTCCAGCTAACCACTGTAGCATTTCCCACCAGGATGTCACAGGAGCTCSAGGTCTGAGCACAGGGGGCACTGTCAAGGCAGCTACTGACACCTCAGATTACCTGAACAGCTCTTTAGCTTCCAGGAACTGAAGTTGTGCAAACTGGATGAAGCCCGCCTGCTGCAGAATCCTTYGGTACATGACCTGGAAGGAAACACAGATTTCATTTCTTAGAAACACCTGATGGCCGTCCCAGGGAGCGGGAGGTATCACTTCACGGTAGAGCACTTGCCTAGCCCTGCACTGTACAAAGAAAAAAAAGAAAGAAAGAAAGAAAGAAAGGGGAACCTAAATTTCAAATCCACAACTCAAGTTAAATGATTATCATTATAGAGAAATAGGAAGTTATAAGTTAGAGGAAAAAGGTATATATGAAATCTTATACACGGTCACCCTTCAGTACCCAAGAGGGATTAGTCAGAGGGACCCCTACATACACCAACATCCAAGGATGCTTTATATAAAATGGCACAGTATTTCCACAGAACCTATACACCCTCCTGTATACTAAATTATCTCTAAATTACTTATAATACCCAATGTAATGCAAATGCTATGTAAATAGCTATTATGCCATACTGCTTATGAAATAATGTACAAAAAAAAGGTCTGCATTTGGTCAGTGCACATGCAACTTTTTTTTCTTTTTTAGTACCCAGGGCCTCATGCATGCTAGCAAGCATTCTACCACCAGGCTGCACCCTCAGCCCCCTGATTTATTTCTCTGAATAGTTTTGATTAACAGGTGTTTTCATGGATCTGTGTCAATCCCCAATCCTTCCTCACTGTACGCCTTTATCTTCTCCTTGTTATTAACCAGCAGGACCTCAGTAACTGCTTCTGCCTCTGGCTGCTCAGGTGGACAGGACAACTCTGGGTTTCTGGCACTTTAGGAGCTAGCTGCCCACCCTCCCGCTCTTCCAAAATCCACACTTTCCAGAGTATCCCTGGGATACTCACAAGGTTTAATGACCACACAGATGCCTGGGCCCTCTCAGCCAGAGCTAGGGACATGCTGGGCATTCTCTCCTGGGGACACCCCGCCCACAGCACACGGCAGTCTGAGTTCCTGCAGCCAAGGTGCAGTTACCCATTCGATTCACTGTGACACTGCTTTCCTTTACCACAGGATCCTTTGCTCCTGTAACATGCAGCAACAGCAATACACACTTCTAGAACCTTCCTGGGGCATCAATCCCACCCACTCTCTGTCACTGCCCAACTTCTCATTTTTGTGTGCTCGCAGTTTGAAATGACTTCTGGACACTCTCTTCTCCCATCAGTCATCCATAGTCCAGCCCTTGTCCTCCCAGCTAAAGACCTGGCTGTGTCTTAACTGTTCTCTCTGACCTTAATCCTTCCTCCTTCTAATCCACCTCTCTCTTCCACAAGCCATCAATTCCCCAACCCAAGGCACACACTTCAGCATCCCCATACTACTGGCTGAATCTGCCATTTAGAGCTTGTGGACCTGAAGGACTATGTGGTCCATTTCCACAAAACTCTACTCCCTGTCATTCACCATCCCCAATTTGAAGACAAGAAAATTCTGCTCAGAGATGTTAAGATTTTAGGCCAAAGTAACTCAAGTAATAAATGGTTGAGCTATGATTCAAGGCCAGATCTTTCAGGTTCTATAGGCCAATGCTTTCTGTCATTGCTTTTTTAGAACAATGCTGTTCTCTCAAATTAGCTTTAAAAGGACTTTCACTACAGTTTTATTTTATTTTATTTTCCTTTAGTGCTGGGGATGGAACCCAGAGCCTCACACTGAGCTACATCCCAGCTCACTAGTATCACAGAGCTCTCAAAAGTATTACGACAGTTCCTCCGGGGCCCTCAGTAGACATTCTCTTCTCTCCATCAGCTTTTATTTTCCTTCCCCTAACCAGCTATTTCTGACCTAAAGACAGACCTAATTATACCACCCAACACTCAGCCAAGATAGCAGGCCAAGGTTCTGTTGCCTGGGAACGCCAGGTCCATTTCTGAAAGTAGAAATGAGGGAGGAAGGATTCTCAGTCACACCTGAGCTTGTCAATGAGACATCGGCTGAGTGGCAATCCATTCCCTATGGCTGTAGGACTCCGATGTCCTCGACTCTCCCACTCCCTGAAGGGAAATAGAGATTACTTTTACTAATACTCCTAATCTCCACAAATAAGGAGTGCTACGATTTAAATGTGCCCTGAAAGGTCCTGTATTGAAAAACTTAACTTCCAAGTACACATGTGGATGGCACTTGGAGTTGAGGTCTTTCGATATTAATTAGAATTAGGCGAGGTCATGAGGGTGAGGCCCTCATTTGGCATTAGAAGAGGAAGAGACCTGAGGTAGCACTTGCTCTGCCCACCATGTGATGCCCTCTGCCATGTTATGATGTAGCAAGGAAGGCCTACCACATGCCAAGCAAATGCCAGTGCCATGCTCTTCCAAGCCTCTAGAACCATAAGACAAATAAAATTCTAGTCTTATAAATTACCATGTCTCAGGTATTTTGTTAGAGCAAGAAAACCAACTAAGACAGAGTGCTATTTTCTATATCCTAGTCTGAGAATGATACATGTAGACTTGGAAGGAGCATGCAAAAATATTCTTTCATCTTGGATTTAGGTCCCATGGACACTGAAATGAAGGACAATATAAAGAACAATATCAAATTTTACCTACAAATGCCTGATTAGAAACTCTACCAAGTACAACCAATTCTTGGTTCTCTGAAAGTGCGTAATTTCCAGGTGTCTGACACCTCTTCTTGCTTTCTGCTCGGGTGATACCAACTACAAAACCTGTTGTAAAATATATGACCATGGGAAAAGGACAGGAAGGGTGAGTACCTGGGAATGACGGGGAATTYTAGGTAGAATGGGATGTTGCTCTTTGTATCATCCTTTGTTTCARTGTCCCTGGTGCTTATATCTAGGGTGAAGGCATCCCTTGCACATCTGTTTATCTCCTAACACCACAGTTAACTCAAAGACTCTCTTCTTCTTCTTTTGTTATTAGTTCATCCTTTAGTTAGGAAGTTATCAAAATCCCCAGGTAGAGCATAATTCAGACAAACAGACATCTGGGGAGTCACTTAGTATCTACTCTGCCCCAAGGTTGGGGCCCAACACTCAAGTCAGGATAAAGTGGTCATGTGTATTCTGGGAGTATAAATTGAAGTTAAAATCCATGTTAGTTCTGAGTGATATGTGTATGTGTGTGTATGTATATACACACACACACACACACACACATATATATACACCCACATACATACATACATACAATGACTCTGTGTCTGTCTCTATATATGCATGCACGCACGCGTGCACACATGCACGCACGTGCACACATATGAATGGAGATTTCTAACTTTTGTGATTCGGGCAATTGGAAATTTTGTGAAGCCAGAAGAGTCTAATGTAAGCCTGTTCAAGACTGCACTGGCTAAGGTGGATATCACACAAAAGCTTCTGAAGCGAACACTTCTTGGAGCACTAAATTCAAAGTGTAGTTTGTTCTTTGGCTCTTGATGAATATGCATTGCCTGGGGTGTAGCTTAGTGGTAGAGCACATGCTTAGCAAGCCTGAGGCTCTGGATCAATCCCTAGCACCACAAAGAAAAAAAGAAAAAAGAAACTTCTCGAACTAATGGAATGTTATTTAGTCTTAAAAAGGAAGGGCATTCGGATGCAGGCTACTCAAAGAGACAGATACCATATGATTCCTCTCGTATGAGGCATGTAGAGTAGGCAAACACATAGAGAGAGACGGGAGAGGGTGGCTKCTGGGGCTGGGCATGTGTGTGCTGGGATGAAGTGGGGAGTCGGTGCCTAATGAGGATAGAGTTGCAGCATGGGAAGATGAAATGTCCTGCAGATGGACAGTGGTGATGGCCGCACAACACTGAATGCACTTAATGCCACTGAAATGCACACTTCAAAACAGTTGCCATGGTCTATTTTATGTTATGTATATTTTACCTCCACCATCCCCAGAAAAAAAAGAAAGAGCTTCTCCTAGCAGAGGTTTTGTTTTTTTTTTTTTTCTTTAGTGAACTTGATAGCAGCCAAAGGTTTCTGATTTCTGTGGTGACCTGCTGGTCAGACTGGAGCCCCCTGGGGTGTGAGTCCTTGTGTGAGTCCTGGCTCTGCCCTCTGTTGGCTCTGTGCTCTGGGCAAGCCCCTCCATCCCTCACACCGCACCTGCATCTTACCAGGGTCCACCTCACAATTGTGGTGAGGAAGACTCCCACTGTGTCCAGCGTGCACAACAAGGCCTGGCATGCAGTCAGCACTCAATAAATGTTCTCTCTCTCTTGAGACTGGGCCTGCAGTTTGCTTTCCTAACTAATGCCAGGATCTAAATTTTCCCATCATCCTTTCAAGACCACTTGCTTGATTCTACTGTATCTATGAGTATTGGAGGGAAGTGGGGTGCACAAACCCTTTTCCCATGAAAGAGAAAGAGGTGAAGAAAATCAGGATGTTTTAATAGGAATCTTTCTACAAGCAGCAGAAATGATCCCACCCTGGCAGCACAGACCTCTTCACTGTGACAAGTGCTAGTTCCCAAGACATGGCATCTCGGGCGGCTGCGCCTGCTCGTGGGGCCAAATGTAACAGAAATGAGTGGCGAGGCGAGGACAGGGCCCACAGGGGTCACTTACTGCAGGCAGGAAGCCAGCAGACCAAGGGAGGACTCAGACTGGACTGTTTCTCGAGCTACAACAGGGGCTTTCCGAGAAGGACAACCACAACCCAATGACCCTGCGAGCACCGTGGCAGCAGCTCCTGAAAACCCAGGAGCTGGGRGACGAGCAGACACACAGGGACCACGATGGCTCTAGCAAGCCCTGTCTCCTTCCAGCTACCGCTGGTTCCTTAACCCTGGGATGGGTTGGGGATGGGAGGTTGTAAGTCACCTGAACTRGACCTGAGGGATTTCACGACAAAGACAACCCCAGACCCATTCCAGGAGTTTTCAACTGAAAAATGGATTCTTTTGAGGGCAGAAAAGCCTACYTATAGGATCAGATTTGGATCCCACTCCCACTCAAGGGAGCACAGCCAGCCTTCCATATCTGAGGATTCTGTATCTATGGATTTAACCAACTGTGGATCAAACACGTTTCAGAAAAAAARATGCATCTGTACTGAACATGTACRTTTTTTCTTGTTAATTATAATTTACATTGCCTTTATACTGTATTAGGTATTACAAGGAACCCTACAAATGATTTGAAGTATACAGGAGGATGTGTATAGATTCTGTGCAAACAACAGCCATTTTATCAAAAAACTTGAATATTCGTGGATTTGGTATCTGAACTGGGGCCCTGGCACCAATCCCTGGTGGACACTGAGGGATTATCAAGAGATAATTATTATTCAGTCTGCAGGGCTGATGGACATGGCCTTCCCCACCAACGCTGACTGTAGCCCCAAGAAGGCAAACCACCAAACATAGTCATTACAAACCGGCTAACGGCTCCGAGAGGACAGCCCACACCTGGGGTGGAACCGACCACTGAGATTCATATCAAAACTGGTAGACACACATGTGCGCACGCGCACGCGCACGCACACACACATACACACACACACATACACACAGACCTACCTAAACCCCTATATATTTTAAGATTTTCAGAAAGATAAAAATGTCATAAAATAGGGTCACAGGATGGGTATACTAAAAGGCTCTGAGCAAACCTTGACTTATCAAGTCCAGCTAATTAGCCTGCCAAAACAGAGCCTCTTCGCAGTCTGCACCTGCTACCATCCCTGCTTAAGTATCTGGTGAAACACAATCTGAGAAGTCCTGACCTGGAAGGAAGCCAGGAACTCACAGACCCAAAAGCAAGACAAGTGGCCGGTTCCCAAGGTGAGGAGGTTGAGCACCTGGTGGGCACAGGAAAGGAGGGAGCACACACATTAAAAGCTACTATGAAAGGGAAACCCAAGGTCTCGCCAGGCAAGCTCAGGCTGCTTTCCRGTGACTTGGGGTAGTCCCCGGGCAGTTCTGCCATCAACTTTGATGTGCACAGCTAGGTTCATTTCCTTCACCTACCTTTTCTTTTGTAGGAATTGCTTTTTAAATTTTAATTTGTTTTGTAATTCTATGAACTATTAATGTAGCTCAGTATCAAAACGACAAAATAAAGCATATTCAAAGAAGTCTCTCTTTTTCTACTTTCCCCTATTCACTACCTGCCCTGCTTTTTTACAGATTCTGTTTTATTTGCACTTCTTCTCCCCTCCCCAGCTCTTACTCTTTCCTTCTCTTTCTTCTTCCTTCATTTTCTGTCTTCTTTTGATGTGTCTGTGTTCTTTATTCTAATGGTCACCTTAATGGTATCAATTTTACCAAACTCCTTTGATTTTCTCTTTTTTGACAGAGTTCCCATTGGGTATTTGTTCTATACAGTCTAGTGGATTTTCCCTAAGGATAAAAAGAAATGCAAGTTGAAAATATTCAYAGGACAACTAGGGTAGGGTGATGTGGCTCTGAACAGGTCCCACCACTAGAAGTGCACAGTGCTGACCCGGGGTAGCCTGGAGGATGGTACAGGGGTGGCAGTTAAACAGGACACCCTGGCTTTTGGAGACACATATGAAATCCTTTTAGAGGAGATGAAAAGAAAACTCTACAGAGCTCAAGCTTGACTGTAAGCACCATCCCTATCAAGTGGCACAAATCGGGAAATTTTGTGTCTTACATAAAGACCAATGTCTCTTTACCGTCTCTTTGGAGATTGCATCCTCATGCTTAATACAATCGAAGCCCTGCTTTCCTACAGCTCTAAGTAGCTCTCTGACCCTTTTGACTCTCGAGAAGAAACATTCCTATAATCTGAGTCCCACAGTTAAACTTTCTGATGACCCTCTCACTAGGTCAGAGTTCCGCCTCTCTGCCAGGCCTTTCCCTGGCTTCTCCAAGCCTAGGAGCCAGCTCTAGCTCACCAGCATTCCAAAATCACAAAAACAATGCACCTAGCTATGAGTTGCACCTAATCATGAAAATGCACACATTCAAGAAAAACTTTATCTAGATCTTTTTGGGGTTAATATTGTCTTACTGTCTTTTCTGGTTTGTATTTCATGCAAAAACTTGCTCCATTACATCACAGCTCTGTTGGGAGATCAGCTCAAAGCTCTGAGTTGTGAACTCACTGACTCCTCCCAGGGAAGACTCTACCTAGGTTCATGGGGAAGGAAAGGTGCGTGGCTGAGGAGCACACTGATAAATAATGACAGGCAGTGTGATACACACCAATGCAGGTAAGTGTCCCTTACCCAAAATGCCCAGGMCCAGAAGTGTTTCAGATTTTGAACAGTTCCAGATTTCAGAATATTTGCATATGCATAATGAGCTATTCTGGGGATGGCAATTCCAAGCCTAAACATAAAATTCATTCATGTTTCACATATGTCTTATACACACAGCCTGAAGGCGATTTTCTACAATATTTTTAGTATACCAACATTTTAAATGGGGCCAACACATGAGGTTGAGTACAGAATTTTCCACTTGTGGTGTTACACTGGCATTAAAAATAGTTTGGATTTTGGATTTGGGAGTTAGGGATGCTTAGACCATATCTGTCGTGTGGAAGTGAGGAGGGAAGAGCTCTCAGCTCTGCCTGGAGGGAAGGGCAGGCTTAGTGACAAAGCCAGATTAGTGCAAGGTATTGAAACAGGATTTTATCAAGTAGAAAAGTACACACTGGTCATGGAAAATGGCACAGACACTGAGAAATAAGAAGCAGGAGACGGGGAAGTGAAGAAGTGCATGGCACATTCTGGAACTGGGGAGGTACAGGCCAGCCAGGCAAAAGGGCTGCAGAGAGGCTGGCCTAGACTTCACAGCCGAGTGTCCACAGGCCAGGCTGATCTGGCTGCCGGGCACGTGGGGCTTCTCTATCAAACAAACACTGGTTATTGCTGAATACTTCTGAGGATAAAATAAACAACATTTTAAAATGCTGTCTAGTTGTTCTCTTTGTCTTCCTCCTTTTGAGGTGGCCAAATAGGGGTTCGACATGTGTTTCGTAGGGAGGAGGGGAACCACAGAAGATGAAGTCATAGAGCACTTCAAGGGTTTGGACTTTACCAATGACTTGCCCATTGATTACATTAAGCAAAGGATTCGGTCACATGGAGCAAGATCACTCCTATGGTGGTGGCAGGGTGGACCACAGACACACAAGCAAGAGGCTGTTGACATGATTCAGGGGAAATATGAGAAAGTTCTGGACACCCACAGTAACAACAGGAACTGAGAATAAAGGCTGTATTCACTAGAATGCTGAAGATGTATCTCTAGGGCTGCATGTACGACTTCAGAGACATCCAGGGAGAAGACAGGGAACGGGAGAAAGGAAAAGCCACCCTGAGATACCAGACTCGAGTGCAAGACACTGATTATTTTACGAGGCATTGTCTGTGTATCTCTCTACTCATGGTAAAAAGAGTAGAGAAAACCAAAAAAGCAAAAATCAGATATATAACACTGAACACTGAAAAGTTCGGTAAGAAAACGTTACCCATTTAAAAGTACGTCCGTAGAWACCTCCCCCCAAGCCACTGAAAACCTTGGTGCACCGGTCCCCAACACTGCCCAGACAGCAGCAMGCATGGCCTCTCTCCACGGGATGACAGAAGGAGCCAACAGGCAGCAGCAGCCTGGGGATCTGCCTCTGCCTCCCTGCATCCTGCCCTCCTGGCACCAGTACTGGCACAGCACAAAGTGGAGGAGAAATCACCTAAGTGTCCAGCACAGTAACAGCCCGTGAACACACAGCAGCTTCTTCTTCTTGCTTTTGCTGCCCCCTGCTGAATGCTAACAGATGAGTCTCAAACAAAAGTTGGGAACAAAGACGGAAAAACTCATTGGTGCTTACACAGAGAAAAGGTATCCCCATTTTCAAATCCCATAGCTGGAAAGGACACATCTGTTCTGTGTTCACTTTGAAAAGCTTCCTCTGCCTGCATGGAGCAGCTGCGTCCCCAGCATACCACGTTGTTCCACAGCCGTAACATGATCATGTAGGAAATCTGACCAACACGACTAATTCATGGACTTTTAATGATCAACCTGGATAACTGTATGAAGTGCATGCACACCATTATTTTATCACTCTCAAATATGTAGGCCTGAACACCCTACATCTGATCGAGTAATAATTCCCAGGGATCTTGACATCTATCAATTACATTTATCAAACTCATTAWATTTAATGTTTCTTAAATGCATTAAAAGTTATTTCCAAAGGAAATCAACTAGGTTGGTTCCTTCAAATAAGTACTTTAACAATAGGGCTAACAAAGCACTGCTATAGATGACAGAAATCTCAACTTTAATTCAACCTGCTCCACAAAGTCTAAAATCAGAGCCCAGTTAGACCGACCTCACTCTTCTGGCTGACAGGAACTATGGTCTTAATTCTTCTGGGAAGCTCCACTGAAGACTAGATCGGTTAAGAATACAACTTAGTGCATCAAGAAGGAGGAATTAAGTCAGAAGTTCAAAACCTGATTATCTGAGTGCTGCACAGCCCTAGTGGAGCTGTTCCACTGATCTGTACGCTGAACAGGTGCAAAATGTGGAGAAAATTAAATAGCAGATATGAAAGCAAAGTGTACGGTCTGGTGTACAGTAAGGCCGATGGCGAGGAGTTGAAWCCAAATGCTCCCTCACTCGTGGCTGACAGGCATGCTTTCTTGTGACCAGTTAATTACAAACCTGAAATTTTTCTTTCGGAATGTTCCTCCGGGCTCCTTTTGCTAAAACCAAAGCCTCCTCCACTCTTCGGTTCGCTAGTAGATCCTGTATTTGTTTTTCCAGAGGTAATGGAACCAAGATGTAAACTCCTTTACTTGTGGCAACAATCACTCTTCCTGGGAAGAAATTGAACATTGTTGGGAAGGGAAAAAACACCACCTGCAAGAAAATGTATTGCTTTCCCTCAGATGGATCATTATCTGATTTGTTAATCAATTTCACCGGTTTTTCCAATAGAATTCTTACAGAAATTATAAATTATAATGATTCCCTTTTCTCCTGCCCACATTAACGATTGTGCAAAAGGGGTCAACTCTTAATACTCTATTTCCAAAGAATAACATCTGCTGTTTAGCCTTTTTCTATCAAAAAATGCTGGTGAATTTAAAATCAGTGTAGGAAAAACATCATATGGGGTCAAATTAAGCTATAGAGCTCTTTCATGAAACATTATCAATAATAATTATGATATATTTCATGTAAGATTTATTAAAAATTTCCTTCCAAGTCAGTTAATATAGAACTAAGATGTTAATACAACATTGTGAAACATGAGCTCATATTTTATGCTCACCTTCCATCCAAATACCTCCAGTTTTTGCCATTAACATCATCACTTCCCCACCTTCCTGCCAGTTCACTTGACCCAAGGCCAACACTGTTGTCCTTTCTGGACTGTGAGGCCCTTCACAGGTGGACCACAGAAGAGTCAGGACTGCAGACCAAGACCAGCTCCTACTATTGTGCTTCCAAATTAAATTTGATTCCCTGCCCAAGAAACTCTCATCCAAGCATTACCTGTGTTTTGTCTTCTGTTTTCTTTCTTTCTTTATTTTTATGTGGTGCTGAGATTCAAACCGTAAACCTCAAGCATGCAAGGCAAGTGATCTACCACTGAGCTACAACCCCAGTCCCACTGCCTTCTGTATTCTGACTAAAGTAGTTTCTTTCAAGCTCTTAGCAGATTCTGTCCCTTCCCTGCTTGGTGTCATTTTTTTCCAGGAAGCCTTCCTTTGACCCCACACCAGGTGGGTTACAGCAGTCTCTTGTATGTCCATAGTTCCCTGTACCCAGCCTCAAGACACTGCTACACAAATGGTACCTGTATCCACAGGTCACGCATCCATGGATAAACCAGCCAGGGAGGGAAATAATGGGGACGGATGCACCTTTACTAAATATGTACAGACTTTTTTGTCTTCATCCCTCAAATATAAAAAGAACAACTATTTACATGGCATTTACAGTGTATCAGAAGTTGTAAGTAATCTAGAGATTATTTAAATCATGTCAGAGGATGAGTATAGGTTCTATGCAAACACTAGACCATTTTATATAAGGGACCTGAGCATTTCTGGATTCTGGATTCAAGAGGAGTCCTGGAACCAGTCCCCAAGGATACCAAGGGATGCCTTATATTCTACTCCAGGKCACATTTCAGTCCTCCACCTAGAATGTGAGCAGCTTTGCACTGGGGACTCTTTCATATTGTTTATGTCCCCTGCAGCTAAGATACAGGGAGGGCATCGTTTGGTGAACTAAGATTCTTAACTGGCAAACACAATGCAAAATCTAGAATAGTTCCTGTGTTTGAAGAAAATATAATAAAGAAAGTTCTTAGGACTAGTAGGGAAATCTGAATATAGGGGGGATGTTCGATGGTACCAAACAGCCAATGCTCATGTTCTTGGCTATGAACATGGCAGTGTGGCACTGGAGGAAGATGCCCTTGCTCTTAGGAGATGCCTGCTGACCTACTTCAGCGTTAACTGTCATGACGTCCTCCTCTTACTTTCAAACAATTAACCAAACATTAACAAGTATTGAATCTAGGTGAAGGGTTTATGGGAGTTCACCTTGTTTCTCTTTCAACTTTCCGGTATGTTTGGAAGTGTTTAAAATAAAAATTGAGAAGAGGTGAAACAAATCTCTTAACTGGTGCACAAGATGAGGTGGCTCCCTGATCGCCCCTGTCTGCTGCGGCCTCAGCTCACTCACCCCTCCACTTACACGATGCAGTGCTGCTACAGTGCAGAGCTTGACGGGCCTGGGTCCCTGGTCCCTCCCCATTCCCTCTTGCACAGATTTGCACAGGTCTTTTGTCTCCTGGAAGGGTCTTCACACCACATCTGCTTGGCCAGCTCCTTCCCATCCTTAAAGGTCTAGCTCATCCCTTCCCTTCATGAAGCTCTCCCTGAGATCTCCAGGCAGGGCCTCCTCTTTTGCTCACCCAATGAGCCTGATTCCAAGTCTGTCAAACTCTTAAACGACTCTGGCTGTTGACTGAAATCTCAACCTTGCACTACCTGAAAGGAGAACACTGTATCACAGTCATTTGTGTTTCTTCTATGCTCAGATTGAGGCCCATTTCCCCAGGGCCCTTGACACATTTACCAAAAAAAAACATCAAAAAGGTGTTTTTTGTTTGTTTTTGCAAAGTCATTTTTATTTATATAACCAGGAACGAAGCAAAAATCACCAGAAATTTTTAAGTATACTAAAATAATATTTTAATATCATATAGTTATTCAGTTTTATAAAGAAGATAGACTGTCATATAGACTCTACATAGAGTGACAACCTCTTCCCACCAAAAAAAAAAAAAAAAAAAGATTTGATAAATAACTCTGTTTAAGACTTCAACGGGTACCTTCAAAGTCCTGTAGGATGTGGCCTTCCTTAAAGGGCAGGGTCTGTTTCTGCTGTTGATCCAACATGCTGTGGACTGTGATGAACTCGTCATCGAGCGCTATGACATATGGGAAGCAAACAGCTGCCCCAATGACATTCTCCGCCCAGTGCACAGGAGCACGCTGGGATATCCCTGCGACGGTGGCAAACATGCCTGTAAAAACAAGGAGAAAGGGGTGGCTGAATTTTCAGGTTAACTATGGTATCTTTTCTCCCCATAGCCATGTCTGAACGCAGAATATCCACCCCCTCAGTTTTCCTGCATGCTCTTCTATTTCAAGAAAGACATAATAATAATACACTATCTGCAAAGAACCTTGCAGGACTTAATTTTTGTCACAAGAATCACCTTATCTACTTTCAATTAAAAATGAGATTTAAAGTTTCCAATGTACCTATAGGCATATTTATAAGGCACATGTCCCCAGGCGGGAAAAAGTTACTTTTCAAACAATATAGGATGCTTTCTAAGCTTTCTCGAACATCCGGTCCTCCAGCTGGCTTGTGTGTCTGTTTGAGCTCTTCCTGGTATGTTCATTCAACACCTACTATGCGCCAGGCACTCTACTAGGTATTCTAGCAGGAAATGGCCATGCTCAGAGTGGAGGCCTAATTTTGATAATTGGTTCTGTTCCTTTATTTCAGTGTGTAGACTACTCTATGATAATGTATACAGAGGCAGAACCAATCTTGCAGTTCAAGCCAGACTGCTGTTAAGTGTTTGTCAACAATAACTTCCATATTAAATGAAGTCAATCTAGTTTGCACATAAAGCATTAATATTGGGGTTGACCAACATGAACACCTCCGCTAAGTAGAGTCAATCAATTTCAAGTGCGCTCTTCAAGGTCGTTGCCATAAAATGTCTTTGAAGAGAGCATGCTGTTGCTATACACTGCTGCAGCAGACCAAGGGCTTCTAGTATATGAGAGAGTGAGGCAGCGGAGATGGGGTTCAAAGAAGAAGGGACAGGAAAACCTTCAGAGGTAAATCCAGGCAATGTGGCAACTCATTCTCTGGGAGGCAAGAGAGAAGTGGGAGGGCAGACAAGGCCTCTGAGGGGCCGTGAGCCTCGTGAATGAGCAGCACTGGGCTGGTCTGAAGGGAAACGTGGGAATGTGAACAGAGCTGACCAGAAGGCAGCGTTTCGGCTTCGTGGAACTCCCTGCCAGAGACTTCTGGGGAGACCAGAGTTCTAGTGTTTCTCCAAATGGGAACTACTTTTTCCATGAAGCACATGAAAGCCAGAGTAGAACACAAATGACATAAGAGGTAACGTTTCCGTACAGCAGAATCAGGCCTGGCCTCAGGCTGCTAAGAGCACTGCTTGTTATGTGCCGGAGTTAAAAGCTATACTGAGCAGGTAAGAAGTCCACACAAGCTCAAGGGAAACACAGAAAAATCACATCAAGATGACCAAYGTCCAAAAGGTAAAGCCTGATAAATAAGGTCATCTGGTTTTGTCCCAGTGGTGGGACAATACGTAGAACTGAAGTCATGGAGCTTGGCATTTCCAAAGTCTTATGGTAACTGAGAGGCGTAATTAAAGTTTGAATTGTCCAACAATAGTATATTAGCCAGCTTTCCAACTACAATGAGGCAATTAACTTCTAAAGAGAAAAGATTTATTTGGCTAGATTTTGGGAATCTAGTCCAAGATGAAGCGGCCCCATTGTCCTGGGCCTCTGGGGAGGCAGCACACTACGAAGAGAGCAAASCACTCACCTCGTGAGCCAGGAAGCAAAGCAAGAGGTCCAGGAAGAGCAGGAACCAGGTCCCATGATCCCCTTTAAGAGCCCGCCCCCAGTGACCTGAGGAGGCTCCATTCCTAAAGGTTCCACCACCTCCCAACAGTCCACTGAGCCTTTAACTCACGGGCCCGCTTGAAGCCATGCATTCGGACCAAAGCAAACAGTAACACCAAAATATTCAAAGCAGCACCCACGATTCCTGAAGGAATAAACATGATGCACAAAGCTACAGAACGTCTGAAGAGTCTGAAATAAAGACTGGGCATGGGAGGAAAAGAGAGGTGAGCACTATCTCCAATTCTCTGCCTATTTGGAAATAGTCAGCTGAAGAGAAGCAAAACAGGAAAGAAGAAACTCACGGGCACTGGCACTGTGATGCCATCCTCACCCAAGCCTTTGGCAAAATGCAAAATGCTGAAGGGATGAGCATGGAGCAATTGTGAGGTTTCTGCTAACTTGAGGGGTCACATAACCAAGCTCTGCTCAGCATAATGCCCATGGTCACATGGACAACAATACTGTTGTCCAGCCTCAGCCTGAAATTAAAACAGGGTCACTACAGACACTTTGCTAAGGCTGAACAAAGTCTGAACAGGATTATGCGGTGCAGAGGTACAGAGGCCCAGACTAATGTTCTTGACACAAAAAAGGTAGAAACCAGAGGTCAAGAACACAAGCTGCCACACAAAACACAAAGCAAAGATTCCACCAGAACAAAAGAACAGAGCCGTACCAGGCAAGTGGGGAGCCAAACCAAGAGAGAGAAGTGTCTGCTGAGCTATTTGGGAAGAGAGGCCACTGTTACTAACACCCACCAGCCCGTTCTATTCTTGCAAAGTGGGCGATGAAGTATATGTTTCTATAGCAGTGAAGGAGCAGCGGCACAATCAACAGGCAAACACAGCTAATTTGCAAACAGCACACCTTTTTGGGGGGAGTAGCGGGGATTGAACTCAGGGGCACTCAACCACTGAGTCACATCCTCAGCCTTATTTTGTATTTTATTTACAGACAGGGTCTCACTGAGTTGCTTAGCGCCTCGCTTTCGCTGAGTCCAGCTTTGAACTCGCCATCCTCCTGCCTCAGCCTCCTGAGCCACTGGGCATTACACCTTTTAAAAACATTCTTTTCTGTTATGCACTCCTCTAAGTTTCAGTTCACCCCCTTGTCTAAGCTGAAAGGAGAGCAGCCCACATGGGGTGAGCAGTGGCTGCAATATTTGCCTTTTTTAAGAAGCATCACCAAGTGATACAGTGAAAATTACCATAATCAATTGTATTATGAAGATTCAGCAAAGTATTGCTTTGCAAAAAGTTAAGAGCAATTTCTCACAACATAGGAGTGCTTACAAGTTATAGTCAGGGAGAAAGGCAGCAGATAAAATGAATACAGATGCTTTTATGCTGAAAGGTGCATTTACATTCAGCATTATTAGTCTCTGAAGACAYGTAACGATGCTGGTGATGGCTGTGCTGTGTATACAACCTACAAATATACAGGGTGTGTGTAAGAGACCTTACAACTGACCTTTCAATTTGCTAATATTAGCAGCAATTGCAAGAAGGATGGTTCATTTAGCATGATGCTAAAGGTAGTCAAGACAGAGTAAAGTTGGGGGTAAATGYAACCTCATTTTCCTTAATTTTAACACTACCACAATCAAAGGGTGCTGGAGTGGAATATTTTCACTGTAAAGCCTTTATAACTAAAGCAGTTAGGTGCTGGTCCAGCAACAGTTAAGAGGACAGATGAACAAAACAGAAAATCCAGACCCAGACTGAAGGGCAGATGGAAATGTCAAAAGTCACCTAAGCTAGTGAGAAGACGGACCCTTCAGCTGGTTGAGCTAAGTGGATAGCCAAAAGAAAAACACAAAACTGAATCTGTTCTTTATATAGGAAGACATGAGACTATACAAGTACTAGCAGAAAACACAAGTGAATTTGTCTAAAACCTTGAAGATGGGGCAGCATTGCTAACTATGACTCAAAATCAAGAAGCAGTAACTGAAAAGGTTGATGGATTAGATTATATATAAAAAATCTTTGCATATCAAAATATTTGAAACAGATATTTGAAACTTATATAGCAGATTAGTTATTTTAAATACACTAAAAATATATTTTTTCCTAAAAAAAAAAAAAAGAGGCTAGTGGATAATAGAGAATTTGGGGCTGGGAATGTGTGACTCAGTGGTACAGCCTGTGCTTAGCATGTGTGAGGTCCCAGGTTCAATCCCCAGCACTAAGAAAAAAAAAAAGACATTAAACAAAAAAGAATAGATAAATCYCACCCAATGAAATGAAATTCATTGAAATTTTAAACATGAAAAATGCTTTACCTTACACATATAGGATATGCAAGTTGAAACAAGAGTGATGTGCCATTTCTCAGGTACCACTCTAGCAAAAACACAAAAGTGTGGACAATAGACTGTGGGCAAAGCTGGCAGGTAAACAGTTTACTGTCATACATTTCTGGGGATAATACCAAGCAAAATTCACATATGGTTGCCCTTTGACTCAGCAATCCCACCTCTAAAGAGCTTTCCCCTAGATGACAGAGGAGGAGGAGGAGGAGAACAGCCACAACACAAAAAGGTTAAACAGCATAAGACTGGGAAAACCCCAGCCGTCCACCCACAGAACTGGTGGATGAACTATGGTACTGTCCCACAGCAGAGTAATACGCAGCTGTAAGAATGAAGAAGGGCTGGGGTTGGTCGTGCACACCGGCTGGGCCCAGAAATTCAAGGCCAACACAGTGAGATCCCATTAAAAAAAATTAAAAATGAAAGAGGAATACTTCAGATTATGCTACAAAGCAACAGCCATAACACACTAAATTTAAAAAACAAGGTAGAAAAATGTAGATCACCATTTAGGAAAAAAAGAAGGAGATGAGATACAAATATTTACGTATTTTTTTCATATGTTTTATTTAAAAATGAAAGAATAAGCCCTGAAAATGAAGGTTACCTCTTTGATTATACCCTGCTGCATCACTTGGATTGTAAATATTTATATAGTAAAAAATAAACAAAACTAAAGCAATTTCTTAAGATCTGAAAGTAAAATAAATCAAATCAACCTAACTGTATGCCAGTTGGTGGCATAGCCACACACAGGGAACCACTCCAAGGACTTTAAACCCAGTAATTTTTGATTCTTAATATCCTAAGGACAAGAAGAACCACCAACAATCAGACTTTTTCCAGTAATTATGCTGTGGAAACAGCAGTGTTGGTACTGCTGCTCTACTCTGCGTCGTGTGGGATAGAGCAAAGAAATGATGTGGGGGTGGTTTCAGCCTCTCCTTTCAAGTAGATGCCAACAGACAGATGGACCGTCCCATCAACATGAGCTCGTGATGGAGGTCCCAGTGCTGTCCAGAAAAGGTCTGGAAATGACCAACCAGAAAAGGCCAACCAGCACTTCCAGACCGTGGTGTGTAACAGCAGGGCTCCTTGGAGGAATGGCTAAAACCAGACCGGGGGCAGCAAGTCAGGAGGTGAGCCCAGAACATTCCAGAAGATAAGAAAGCATCAAAGGTGCTCAGGAGTCCACCTGAACAAACGCACACCAAGCACCAATGGAACCAAGTGTATCACAAATGCTGAGGCCCGTGAGTTCATAACGATGCTTGTTAAAAAGGCATTTCTAGAAGTCAGAGGGACCACCACATGGTCTCATCCTACCTTTTCATGCAAGCGCTTAGGGATAACCAAACAGTAGAGGAGGACAGACTTTGCTTCACAGAAGCATTCCTGAAACACGTGAAGGAGGAACGGATGAATATCTCCTCAGGACCCACTTGCAGAACAGAGGTCAGAGAGGCATATAAACATCACAGGGATAAAATCACCCAAATCCAGGCACTGAGAAGCTCTGGTTGAAACCATCCAACTTCTTCAACCAAAAAATAAGTAAAAATACAAAGCAGGGGGGAAGAAGGAAAGAAGGAAGGAAGGAAGGAAGGAAGGAGAAGAAAGAGAAGAAAGAAAAGAAAGAAAGAAAGAAAGAAAGAAAGAAAGAAAGAAAGAAAGAAAGAAAGAAAGAAAGAAAGAAAGAAGGAAAGAAAGAAAGAAAGAAAGAAAGAAACTTGAGCTACCAACCAACTGCAATGTATGGGCCTTGGTTGGAACCAGTTCAAACAAACTGAAAACACACCCATAAATACAAGATGGGTGAGGTGTGCCTGTGGGGACAGAAGCAAGATAAAATCTCTATATTTTCCTCTCAATTTTGCTGGGAAACTCAAACAGCTTTTAAAAATAAAGTCTATTTTCTTTTCTTTTTTGAGGGGGAATACTGGGGATTGAACTCAGGGGCCCTGTTTTGTATTTTATTGAGAGACAGGGTCTCACTGAGTTGCTTAGTGCCTCACCCTCACCGGGGCTGACTTTGAACTCGCAACCCTCCTGCCTAAGCTTCCTGTGTTGCTGGGATTACAGGTGTGCACCACCACGCCCGACTTAAGGTCTATTTTCTTAAAAGTAAAACTTAAGAAGAGATTTAACTAGTTCATGACCCAGATTTTAGTTAATATTAGAAAATATTTCAATCACTTTGAAATGAGACATCCACACAAAAACTCTCGAAGGTTAAAACATTTGAGTGTAGAATGGATTCTCACCAGCACCCTGCGACAYAAACATACACTAACTCTCACAGGAGCCACCCAGGACTAACAGASCAAACCAGAAGATACCACTTATGCTAATAGCTCTGTACTGGACCTTAAATGCACTGAGGGAGCTGGAAAGGGCCACCTGAGAACAGCTAAAGTCCCTTTCAAAAAGTGACTAAAAACTTTTTGGTGGGATAAATTATAGGAAAAACAGAGAATATCGGAATACTAGAGAAAATTATGGACAAAACATTAAAGCCCCCATACGCTGGTCTGGGTCTCAGGTGTCCCCAAAGGCCCATATGCCAAGGCTCGGTCCCAAGGGTGGGGCAACTGGCAGAACCTCTGGGAGATGCAGTGGGCGGTCTTCAGGTCATTCCATGCATGCCCTTGAGGAGGACAGCGGGACCTGGCCCTTCCTCCTCTCCTTCACTTCCCGGCCGCCCAGGAGGCGACAGTTTGCTCTGCCACCTGCTCCTCACCATTGCCATCTGGAAACCCCACCAGGGGCCCAAAGCAGCAGGTCCACCTGATTGACCATGGGCCATAACTTCTAAAACTGTGAGCCGAAGTGACCCTTCCAAACACCCTCGTGAGCTGCCTCAACTTGTTTTCAGAACGAGGAGTAAAAACAACCACATTACAGACCTACCCACTTGGGAAAAGCTAGAAGTTGTGCAGGGTTTTATTTTTGTAGTTATTTACTTAAAATAATTTTCCCAGCAGAGTCGTCTGCAAACTCCACTTCAATACAAAACAAAACCACTTTTGCCTACTTAACCTCACCTGCACTGACTGATGGAATACAGGACACGTGTCATGTAGTTTTGCCCTGATCTGGCCAGAGTGTTGAGGAACACTGGCAAACACTCTTTACGAGTACAGTCATGCTGTGCTTACAGACCACTGGGTCCACAAGGGACTGCGTACATGACTGTCCCATAGAGCATGATATCACCCAGCGGCACCATAGCCATCCTCATTGACGTAAGCACACCCTGTGGTAATTGCACCATGAAGAAATCAGCGAAATGTGCACTTCTTAGAACATACCCCTATCAGCAGAACATGCATGACTGTATTAATTTTTCACAGTTAACACCTCTCCCCTGCTGGGTGTGGTGTTGCATGCCTGTAATCCCAGCAGCTCAGGAGGCTGAGGCAGGAGGATCGCAAGTTCAAAGTCAGCCTCAGCAACTTAGGGAGAGCCTGTCTCTAAATAAAATATAAAAAGGGCTGGAGAGGTGGCTCAGAGGTTGAACGCCCTCGGATTTAATTCCTGGGACCAAAAATATAAGGAAGTAAAACCTCTCTCCCACTACAGTACACATGAGACCACGCGGCAGCATGGAGGTGCTGTTGGTGGGCGCCCAAGGCCCTCCTCACCCAGGCCKCCGGGGCCAGCCAGCAGGAACTCCTGCCTGCCTATCCTCTTCACGATGGGCCGCTTCTCCTCGCTGCAGTAGGGAAACAGGTCCTGGGAGAGGCCAGTGCTGTAGTTCAGGATGATGTACTGCGTGGTCAGCGCCAGGCACAAGAAGTGGCCGTCCACAGCCACGGCCAGCGGCTGCTCGGGGGTGGACACCTCCTTGACGATCTGCACGCGGTCCTCGTACACCAGGAACACCTGGATGGTCCTGCGCTTGACGGAGATGATGCACACCTCCACGCAGAACGGGTCCCCGCTCACGGGGTTCTCGTTCAAAGCGAACGCAGTGGCCCCTTTGATGCGGGCCCCCGAGGGCACGGGCTCCAGGTTCAGCATGTTGACCAGGGTGATGGAGTTGTCACACAGCACCAGCAGCCTGTTGAGGGCCGAGGCCGCCCGCAGCTCGCTCACGGGCTTCTTGAAGCCCAGGTGTCTGTGCAGCTGCTTGGTGGCAGTGAAGGCGGCTGTCCCTGCGGGCAAAGCCTTCTCCTCCAGCAGGAAGTGATAGATGAGGCAGTCGTTGGTGCCCACGTAGAGGTTCCGGCCACAGCACTCCACGCATTCTATGTTGATGCGCTCTTTGTCACCCATCAGCAGCTCCCGCTCCACCGCAGAGACCAAGGTGAAGGCCTTGATGTTCATCATGTCTCCTGATTGGGCTGTCGGAGGAGAAAGAGGAAAGGGTGATCTCAGAGGAACAAGAAGTCGGCAGAAACATTTTGGGTCGCCATAAAGACACACTGATTCCCCACATCATTTCAACCCAAGAAAATAGGTTGATGCTGTTAAAAAATGGAAAGAAAAGATTTTTTGCATGACCTGTCCCTTCAGGCAACGGGGAGACCCAGCAAGGGGTATCCGCACGGTGCCTGTGATCACAGTGCTGTCCCCCTCATTCCGGCAGAGCTGAGAGTTCCGTGGGGCTTCCTCCCCTCATTCCTGGGAGACACAGTCACCCATAGGAACAAGAACATGGGCTCACCCACAGACAACATGACAGAAATGATCCTTGTGGACCTTCCCTGAGCTTCTAGGGTGATTTTAATCTGCATTAAGAGAATGGGGGGATACTACTCCAGGAACCTGCCAGAAACAATGACCCATGCCTCCAATTCCTTGGTGCTCCCCAGGCCCTAATGCTGCATACGGCTCCAGACATGTTGGTGTCGGGTAGCGAAGATGTGCCTCCAATCCCCCGTGGAGCTGAGAAGAGAGACCTCCCACGTGCTACACTGGGCTTCCTATTCCTTCCTGGAAAGTGCGAGCAGCAGAACTCAGGTGGCCTCCCTTGACTTCCGGGGGGTGGGAGACAGCCTCAAGGGCACAGTCCCTGACACCCACGGGGCAGTGCCAGCTGCTCTGGAGAGGACTGTGAAGACTAGGGGAGTTTCAGGGATGGCTCACCTCAGATGTCTGGCTCACGTCAGAACGACTTCCCACTACTTCAAGTTACTCAATTTAATCTTCAATTTAAGCTCATGAGAGATTAAATTCCTTAATCCTCTGAGGCATCCCAGCAAAGGTCGGGAGGCCTGAGAAATATTCTGGAAGATGCACACATCAGGCACGGGGAGGAATCAAATAACCTCTAAAGTGCTTTTCAGCTCCACAATTTCTTATACCTCACTTTCACCAAGGCAACAACAGCTACCCATGAATGAGACTCTGGTTCCTTTCCCCGAGACCACAGAATCTCCAGAAGGGCCTGGGAATGAGGTTTGTTTGTGGACAAACCTCTTGTCCCCTCCTATCACTTGAGCAAATTACTTGGTGCTGTGGTCTGAATGTTTGCACCTGCCCCCAACTCATGAGTTTGGACTTATTCTCTACTGTGGTGGTGGGGGGTGGGCAACTGGGAATTTAGGTCCTGGAGGCCTCAGAAACACGATCAGTGTCCTCATCAAAGAAGCCTGAGAGAGCTTATTTGTCCCTTCCACCAGCTAGAAGTCACCATCTATGAAGAACAGGCCCTAACTAAGCACTGAATCTGCCGGGACCTTGATCTTGGACTTGCCAGTCTTCACAACTATGAACAATAGGTTTTTACTGTTTGCAAATAACCCAGTTTATAGCAGCACCAAGACACTTGACTTTTCCATCCTCAATTTCCTCATCTGTGAAATGAGTATAAAAATAACAGCACCCACTTTGTAGGATTATTTGAGGATTGAGTAAATCAGTTTGAGTAAAATGCTTAATTTCTGGCCCACTGCACCCTAAAATATTCTTGATCTCACCACAATTCCCTCCTGGTCTTGACCAGCTTCTACCCTTTTCTCAACCCCCAAGTCTGCTTCGGATGTTAATTTCCCTAGTTAGGTAACAAGAGAAGAAACAGTGCCACATTCTGTCCTCAGGTATGGGTAACCTCTCTCCTCCAATGAACAAAAGACTAAGTCATAAACAAGAACACACGGACACGCAAGCCCCCGCCTCCAGCACCTTCACACTCATGGATGAGTGCTCATCTTCAGAGAGATGATGGGAAAGAGGCAGGAACTGTGCACAGAGGCTGTCAAGACACCACCCACAGAGAAGTCACCCTGTCCATCTGTCCCGGGGCTGCAGGATTCCCACAGCCACCCAGGGACAGCTGGGTGAAGAATGCCTATAAGCTGCTACAAGTAATTCTGGCACAAACAACTCTTAAACATCACCGTCTATTTGTTACAACCAAATACAGTCACTAAAACCCACCTAGACAATATTTTTCCCATTTAAATGCTAATGAGCAAGACCCACATATTGAAATATAGGCTTGGAGACATCTCAGTCAGTGAAAGCCAAATTAATACAGAATACTTCTTCCATCATTGGTTGATCAATCAGGGCTGTCTTTTAAAATGGCAGGATTCTGTCACTTAAAATATGAATTGTATCTCTCCCTTTGCAAAAAGAACAGGAAAACATGCTCTGGGCACCTATTATCAAATTCCTCTTATTTAACTTCTTAAAAGCAGATTGTCTATAATTCTAGCCTCTATCTTGACTTAGCATGAGGGATCACCTGAACATTTTGAAATGAAGAATATTATGAAAAGAGCCAAACACCTTGCATTTTATCTAAGTACTGAGGCAGGCCATAAGGACAGAGAGGAAGAGGGACTTGTAAGAAAAACATGCGGCTTATCAAAAAGTCATAATTCTATGATATTAAAAAAAAAGTGCAATGTTGTCTCATTATCTGCTAACTACATTTATTCCAGTCTTGCCAAAGGTAAGTCTCCTAGCAGGGCTCTTTAAATAAAGGACCATACCTAGTGAGACCCTGTCTCAAAATAAAATTAACTAATTAATTAAAAGGCCTCAGATGTGGCTCCATGGTTAAACCCTCTGGGTTCAATCCCTAGTACCAAAAATAAAAAATTAAGGACTACTATAGTAATTAAATAGTAATTTATAAAAATCAAAATTAGGTGGAGGTAAATGAAAGCTGATCACATCACTTAATAATGGTTTATTATTTTAAGCAGCAGGAAAATTCTCTCCATGATCTATTTACATGATCAATTTATGTAACTAAAATATGAATCATAAATAGATCAGGTTGAGACTACACTTCTCTATTAAATCCAACCCAATCAGAAGTTTCCACGTTTTAAAGTTTCCCTGAGCTACATAAATCATCCTTTACTGTGGGTTTCAAACTGATCTAACTTTTTGTTAGAACTGCACATTAAAAGCAAGATTGCAATTTAAAGAATAACATTTTCATGTTTTCTCCAAAATTTTCAAAATTTAGATCCGGTAAAAGAAAGACCCTGAAATGGTTTAGTACATTCACGGTGCATAATTTATGCAAGGGAAATATTACATATGCAATAAGTACCTTTAACTGTATAAGATAAAATAAAAAGTTATAAAATAATGTCTCATCTCCCAAACTTATTAAAGAAATAAGTCTAGAAAAATAATCAAATGATAGAAGAATATGCATTAAAAGCCACATTAATAGTATTAGCAAACATTTTCTATCAAGTTGAGAGTATGTATATTGTCCTTTTAAAGAAACCGCCACTAGTGATAATCTGAATTTAAATAAGTATCTCTGAAAATGCTTTTTCTGCAAATGTACACAGAAATATTTATCTTAGCACCTAGAGTTGTTTTTGTAAGAACCTGTTGCTCTTGGCATGTTCCCTTAGGCCCCTTAGATCATCTACAACTATACTCCAAATGACAAGTCCATTCTTTCTGGCTATCCATAGGTTAGCCAGAACAAATTTCCTTCCTTCCTCCCTCCCTCCCTCCCTCCCTTCCTTCCTTCCTTCTCTATTTATATAAGCTTCAATTAAAAAAAAAAAAAAGTGCATGCTTTTCACTTGGAGGACTATTAAAATAGCTATGTATGCTGCTGGAGGCCCTGCCTTGTTTCATAGCACACAGCCAAAGCCAAGAGAGCTGATACGGAGGAGTTTATGAGCAACGCAGAACACTGGCTATTTTCAGATGTCATGGTCACGGATTGTCCTACGAAGCAAGCACTAGGTCTAGACGGTTCTCCAGGCTATTTCTTCCAAACACCTGGAATCACATAATTCGAATTCTACACAATTTTCCTGAACATTAAAAAAAATGTAATTTTTTTAGTTGTAGATGGATACAATACCGTTATTTTATTTTTACGTGGTACCAGGGATCGAACTCAGTGCCTCACACATGGAGGCAAGCACTGTACCACTGAGCCACAACCCTGGCCCCTAAAATTTTTTTAATAAAAAAATAATTTTAAAAAGTGTTTTATGAAGTCAGAAAAAAAGTAAAAGTTTGATATTCAAACCCAGGAACGATAATGGGGAAAATACAGATCATTCTGACTCATGATTAAGCATGCCTAAATATTAGCACACTGAATCAACCAGTACATATTAAAAACATATAACATGTCCAAGTTGGATGCAACATTGATTTAAGGAAATAAAAGCCATTGGCTTTAATTTATTTGTATTTACAAATTTTAAAAGAAAGACATCATTATTTCAATAGACACAGAAAAGTATTAAAAAATTCAACATTCATTTACAATTTACAACAAAAATTTGTAGCATATTATCCTACTGTCTAAAGCAAACAAACCAAAAAACCTAACAGCAAAATCTCAGCATTATTCCCTTTAAAACAAGGAACAAGATGAGATGCCCAAGATTCTCCTTCACAGCCCTCAGAAGGAACAACACAACTGACACCCAAGCTCAGATTTCTACTCTCTGGAATTTGAGAGTAAATTTCTGCTACTTAAGGCATCCAGTTTGTGGTACCTCCTTACAGTATCGTGCAAACTAATACACCATTTTTACTCAACATCCTAAGAGCCTCTGCCAAAACAATAAAGCATGAAAAAGAACAGTTACAAAGAATTGAATAGACATAGGACTATAATTATTCATGAATGACATTATTGTTCATATGGAAACACAAAAGAACTATTAGAATTACTGACTTTAGAAATAATTTTCTTTGGGCTGGGGTTGTGGCTCAGCAGTAGAGCGCTTGCCTAGCACATGCGAGGCCCTGGGTTCAATCCTCAGCACCACATGTAAATAAATAAAATAAAAGTATTGTGTCCAACTATAACAAAAAAACAAAATTTTTTTAAAAAGTAAGAATTTTCTTTTAAAAATAATCAACATACCAAAGCAATCTGCATTTCTAGACACAA